GTTTAAAACGTACATTTGCTGGTCTTACACAGGTTAATAGTATACTTACTTGATTTTTATAGAATTTTAATTCAAGAAAAAAAAAACAAATTGAATTCATCATCTTATGTTATTTTTGTTTAGGAAGTAGTCGATGCTAGTAACTTTGTTGAATGGAAAATCATATTATATGCTGTTGCTTTTCTTCATACAACTGTTCAAGAACGTCGTAAATTTGGTCCGCTTGGATGTATGTTTAAAATTCAATATTATTTCTAAAATTAATTCTTTTTCTATTATTTTTATTATAATAGGGAATATTCCATATGAATTTAATCAATCAGATTTTTCAGCTACAGTTCAATTTATTCAAAATCATATGGATGAAATGGGTTCAAAATGGAATGTTTCATGGCCAACTGTTCGATATATGATTGGTGAAGGTAAATATTATTTCTAATATTAGACTTTTTATGAAATACGATCTAAAAGACATGTTGAAGTGTTTTGAACAGAAACGTACAAGCCCTTCTCTACGGACATCTTACGCGAGAGAATCTATTTAGGTATCGAAACGATGCTCATTTGATGAGTAATAGAAAAGTATAGAGTGGTTTTAGTTTTTCGAGCCTTCATTCTCGAGATCGGCTTTTTTCAACAAAAAGCAGTGGTAATGTGAAAAATTAACTTTCGACTTCAAACTTTCCATGAATAAAGTTCTTAATGAGATTAGTTCATTGGGCAAGTTGTCACTTTTCTAATATCTTTTATCCCTAAATATGAACTATTCAGAATTCTCTCCTGTGTAAAAAACAAATTTTATTCATATATATGTACATCTTCAGAAAGGAAATACTAGATGCATAATCAACTAATCTTATTCAAAAATTTGTTCATGTAAAGTTTGAAGTTGAAGTCAATTCTCCATGTGGCTACAACTTTTTGTTGAAAAAATCTATTTCGAAAATGAAAATTTGAAAAACCGAACCAATGAAGACTTTTCTATTACTCATTAAATGAACATCATGTTGGCCGAAAAGTGATTTCACACTTGGAGAAATTTCTTCGTTAGCAACGACACATCACAGATCGTGATAGATGCCTTAGCAACGCTCCTCCTCCCTTGCATCTCCTTAAAATACTTCCTTATTGCATTTTTGTTATTTATTTTTGTTTTTTTTTAAGTTCATTATGGTGGTCGTGTAACAGATGATTTTGATAAACGATTATTAAATACTTATACACGTGTATGGTTTCTTGATAATATGTTTACTGATAAATTTGATTTTGCACCTAATTATAAAATTCCACGTTGTAAAACAATTCAAGATTTTCGTGGACATATTGAAACAATGAGTTTATTTGATAGTCCAAATGTTTTTGGTCTTCATCCAAATGCTGATATAACATATCAAACAAATACAGCTGATTCAATTTTAGCTACAATTGTTAATATTCAACCAAAAGATGCTGGTGCTGGTGGTGGTGAAACACGTGAAGCAGCTGTTTATCGACAATGTGATGATATGTTAAGTAAATTACCTGAAGATTATATTCCACATGAAGTTCGTGCTGCACTACAAAAACAAGGTACATTACAACCATTAAATATATTTTTAAAACAAGAAGTTGATCGTATGCAACGTGTTATAGCAGTTGTACGTAATACATTAAAAGATTTAAAATTAGCTATTGATGGTACAATTATAATGAATGAAAATTTAAAAGATGCACTTGATAATATATTTGATGCACGTGTACCAGCAACATGGAGAAAAGTATCATGGGATTCAGCAACATTAGGTTTTTGGTTTAGTGATTTATTAGATCGAAATCAACAATTTTTTACATGGGTATTTAGTGGACGACCAAATTGTTTTTGGCTTACTGGATTTTTTAATCCACAAGTTTGTTCTTTTGTTTTTTTTAATCTATTATTATTTATTAAAAAATTTATTTAGGGTTTTCTAACGGCTATGCGTCAAGAAATAACACGTAATCATAAAGGTTGGTCATTAGATAATGTTGTTCTGGCTAATGATGTATTAAAAATGGTAACAAAAGAAGAAGTAACACAACCACCACCTGAAGGTGTTTACGTCTATGGATTAAAAATTGATGGTGCTGCATGGCGTATGTCACGTGAAAAAGGTGGACATTTATCTGATCCACCTCCAAAACAACTTTATTCTGATTTACCTGTTGTACACGTATGTTATTCATTTTTTTTTTGTTGTTGATATTTTATTTGAAAAATAAAATGAATTATTTTGTTATTGTAGGTTTATGCTACAAATGAACCAAAACCATTGGGTAATGCTTTTTATGTTTGTCCAGTATATAAGAAACCACGACGTACTGATTTAACTTATATATTTTCATTATCATTAAGAATAAATAATAACAATCCAGATTTTTGGTAAAGATTTATTTGTTTTTTTTAACCTTGAGAAGTTTTTTTTTAAAAATTATATCATTTTTCAGGTGTTTACGTGGTGTTGCTCTTCTTTGCGATACAAAATAATCAACAACAGTCAAACAAACAAAATAAGTTCTTTTGAAATATTTTATTCTCCATTTTTCTTGTCAAGCAATAATGAGATTTATTCATTAATGAAATATATTTCGGTCCAAAGTTTGTGTGTGTGTATTATATTTATTTTTTTTTTGTTGTGTTAAAACATGAATAAAAAGAATAAGAATAATGATTAAGAGACATTATACTTTGAATTTAAAAAAAACAAACTCAACAGAATGTAACATATAATTAACGACTATATATAGTAGAGAGATTTCATATGTTTGATGATTAAATAGCACAATTCTTTTACTAACAATTATCGATCTATGTTCGATTGGAAATGAACAAGATAAAAATCAATAATGATTGAATTCGTTAGTTTTTTGAATGGAAATATCAAATTTGGCTGCATTTAGGATACCATCTGTTTGTTCTATTTTGGTACTTAATAGTAATTAAAGAAGAAGAAGAATATAGCTGCCTTTTAGCTACCTTGTGGTATGGAATGCTGTCTAGCAGCAGATTCAATAGCCAGATATCTTCTCTAAAACAGCTAATACTAATTGTAACTCTGATCAAAAGATTGGTCCGACGCAAAGTTCTTGTGCTCAATTGCTTGGGCTTTCCATCTGAACTAATTAGTCACAACAGTGGGTTTACGTTATAATGTGACCAGCATACTATGCGACGAGTGATCCAAGAAAAAGTTTGAACACAGTGCTTTGTTGTTATAGATAATACATTGTATTCTAATAAAAACCCCAAAACAATTTGGGCTCCTATTGAGATATGGCTAAGCTATCAAATTTTTAATATGTTTATTTTCTATAAGTCCCAAGTTTCTAGAACGCTGATCTAGTTTCCATAAAGAAATTTACAAGTTTTGAACAGAATTTCTTCGAGAAATGAAACTTTCAAGATATAGATCCTTCGTCATGAACAGTGTATACAACATGCATTTTTTGAAAGTTTCATATCTTGAAGAGACTTTGTTGAACACTTCAGAATTTTTTTGTAGAAGCTAGTCTAATTGAGCTGTCTATATGCGCAAAGTTTCAGATCAAAATTCGAAAATACAAGTTTTCTGAAAATCTGGGGCTTCTAGAAAACATACATATTAAAAATTCGATGACTTAGTCAAATCTCAATAGAAATTCAAATCCTTTTAGAGACTTTATTAGAACATTATATAGTATCTATAAGAAAAAAAAAAGAATCATTGAAATCGGAAGGAGACAGCTGAAGAGGTTCCCTCGTCAATTATGGTAGTTTTGATAGTAATGAAAGTATTATCAATCGAAATAATTCAATGAAGAACAATGAAACGTTTTCAAATTAAAAAAGATTTAACCGAGTTAGTCTCTCAATTGACTACAAAACACACAGACTTGAAATCAGACCGGTTTGGTCGAACTTCTATGACTGGCCGTTTTTCGCTGATATCTTATGTTCATTTTTAGAGTATTAAAACTAATATATTTTACTCTTTTTTATCGATTTTCATAGATTTAATGATTTAAAAACCTGAGTTCGAAAGTTTCTTGTTGTCATCAAAATTCTAGCTCTAAATTTTGAGATCACACTTTCTTATTGCACAATGAAGTCTTTGGATAATATTGCATGAATTAATTATACTCACGAAAATTTAGCCCGCCATTAGAAATGACATTCAGGTTAAACTAAAGATTTTCACTGCGAGGTTTTCAAGCTCACTTTTCTAGACCGCTTTTAGCTGATCGTCAGAACCTCTTTATGACAAATAATTTTCAGTTCATGTTTTCATTACAAAACTATGGGAAGAGTTTCCGTCTTATTGTAAATATTTTGTTAACTGCTAGTCTCATGCAACTAAGAAAATATCTAGCTATTGAGATACCTAAAATTATGATGTCTCATGTAAAAAGATGAACTTTGTAACTCATTTGGTTTTCCTATCTGCAATGATAACCTTATATGAATTGAGAAGCCATTTACTTGCTTTACATACTAATTTCAAATATGATAACTTAAAATATATTGATTTTTTGTTAAGAAATCATATCTTTAGTGGAGATAGCCAGAGACAACAAAGTATAGAGATTGTTCAGTATCAGCTGTTGTGAGCTACCAGATGAAAAATTTTGAAAAAATTCTTCGTTCATTATTGTTATCATCGGTTGAATTCTGTAACTGAATCGACGGATCGACAAAGCTAAACTGTCCAATCTGATTCGTTTGAAAAAATAAATTAATCGGAAACAAATTGAACAAAACAAATCAATATTTCGTGTGTTGCAATTTAATTAAACTATTAGAATTCAATCGATACAAGAAAAAAATCCATTCACTATTATCACTACTAAAAATTGAATGAGAAATATTTTGATTAAATAATTAGGTATTTTCTGATAATCACGACTAACTATTATTCGGTAAAAATCATTTGTAGATTCGCAAAACAAAAACAAACATGTCAAATATTTTGTAAAAAAGAAAAATTTAATTTTTTTGCAAAGTTTTCTTAGTATACACCATCTGATTGTGGATAATTCTCAACAGTTGTTGGCATTGGTACAAATGAACATCGATCAATATATGGTGATCTCGATGATTTTGTATTTATTGTCGATAAACTATTACTTTTTGCTTGATTAGTATGATCAAATTGACATTGAAAAGGCTTAGTCGATGATTGATTAAAATCATATGGTCTTCTTTCGTACATTGCACGATCACTAACACTACGTGGTAATGTATATTTACCGAATATATCTGGATCACTTCTATGAATTGGTTCTTTCCATTGCATCGATGTTCGTTTTGAATTTTCATTGTTCAACATGTCTACTTGTTGATTTAAACATTCTGATTTTAAGTTTGTATTATTGAGATTAATACGATGACGTAATAATTCTAGAAGTGCCCGTCTATAATTTCCACTTGTATTCATCTAGAAAAAAAGAATCTATAGAAATGATATATTTGATTTATTAATAAACAAACTTGAATAGAATCATAAAGTGGTTTTTTTGTAATTTTTTCAAATTCATTTTTTATTTGAAACATATCAACTTCACAACGTGTAACAATTATACGATTGAGATTATCATCATTTGTTGTTGCACCCTAAAGAAAAAGCTGTTAGTGCAATTCGACAGAAATTAAAATATGAAACACGATGTAGTCGCTGTTGCTAATCACAGAAAGATTGCTTTATTTTATCTACTTTGGATCACCTTTCGTTGTCACCCTCTTACTTAATCCTTCAGAAATGCAATAAATAAGTACTTTATGTATTACAACAAAACATTACTGATATATGGTCTTGAGTTACCAGAATGTTTACCATGATCCGTGTGAGTGATGGGAAGGAGTGAGTCTGAATTCCTACATCTATACTTTAACACGCCTTTTAAATTGTGTTTCACAAAAATTTAACTATACAAATAAGACTTGATAAGTATTTTACTTTAAGACTTCTCTTCAATCCATAAGCAAAAAATCGTGGTCGATCTCGAATAATTCGAACTTAAAACAAATTAAAGTTAAATAAATGAAATAAAAATTTTATTTTACATACCAATAGCTATAAGAGTACAATAAAGATCTCCATCAGTATAAGCTTGTGTAGCTTCTTCAATATCAGTTTTACCAAATTGTTGATAACTTGCAAATATTCGTTTCAATTGTGCATTACTTTAACAATAAAAAAAAACAGGTCAAAAAGAAAAAAATTTGAAATCTAAAACAAAAATAAACCTGCGAGTACATAGAAGTCGAATAAATATTGATCCATCTGTTTTCCAGTTTGTTGCTCCTTCACATAATTCTCGAGCATCTCTTAATATTTCATCATCATTAATATCACTATTTTCTGAACGATTAGATTGTAATAACGCAAGAAATATTTTTTTTGAAGGACTATCTCGATCATTAACTACATCTTGTTCAATTGAATTTTTGTATACTAGAATATATAAATATTGAAATTCTAACTTCAACCGCGACGATTATGAACAAAATTAGAATTCTGATTTCGACCAGACGAAATTGGAATAATTTTTTAATGAATGAAATAAGGTATTATCTTGATAACTAATGATTATCAATGTAAGTTTGTTTATGTCTCTCTCACCTAATCATTTCTTCTTTTATCTATTCACTGTAGTTATTTGCAGAAGATAAAGACGAAGAGAATATTTCAAGGAGAGGTGGTCGAAAGAACAACCAATATATATAGAAGTAGTCAAACATAACACCGTAAAATAAAGGCGTCCACCTCAACAAGCGCTGCAATCGATAATAATGAGAAAGTCTTCTATGAGAAAATAGATAAATATATTAATTCATTATACAAGAATTATCCTGAGAAATGTATTATTAAATAACAAATGTATTTTTGTGGTTCCACAATTGGAGACACATGTAACTCTCGTGGTAAATATGTAATCAAAATTAGTCCATGTAAGAAAGAAAATGTGTTCTACTCTACCAAATATTATTCAAAGAGAGATGCATGTTACAACATGGATTAACTTAGTTTAGGATTTAAATAATATTTGTTTGAAAGTTTTATAAAATAAACTAGTTGTTGGTGTTTTAATTATGTCTTTTTTTTCCTTGTTTCATTCATTAAAAAGTTATTCCAACTTCGTCTGGTCGAAATCAGAATTCTAATTTTGTCCATAATATATATATACAGAAATAGAGATTCAATGACTTCCGAAAAAAAAATCATCATTTACATCTTTTATAACGATCTCGTATTGCTTGAATATGTCTATTTGAACGGCTAAAGAATATTTCTGCAGGAATATTTTCATCTATAGTTGGTCTTTTTAATATTCTTCTTAATTCCAAACAATCACGTTCAACAGGTGATAATAATAATATTCTTAAAAGTTTACTTAAAGTATAATCTGGTACTTTTTCAAGAGCATCATTAAGATTCTAAAAGCAACAAGTCTTCAAAGAAAAATATCTTTCAATGTTTTAAACATACTTGATTATAAAGATGCTTATATTTATCTCGAATTTCTAAACGTTGATCAACACTTCTATTACAAAGTACTTGTATAACAGCTATTTCATCTATATTAGAATCATTTAATAATCTATATAATTGTTCACAATCTAAATAAATAAAATAAATTTTTAATTTTAATTATAAATTTTTAAACCTTGATCAATATTGAAATCAGCAAATTTTGTCAATGTACCTTCATCCTATAAGTAAACAAGATGAATAAGATTATTTAATTAAGATATTTAATACCCATGATTCTTCAATTCGAGCAAGTGATGGAAGTTTAGAACGCTGTGGAGAAGTAGATCGACTAATACTTGGTGATAAACATGGTATTAATGGATGTATTGGTTCATTACTTCCACATCTTAATTCTTGTAATGATGATCGAGATTTTGATTTAAGAATAGATGCATTCATTGATTTTGATGATGAATAAATTTCTTGAACACTTCGTGGTCGATTACAATAATTATCTGTTTTTTGTCTTGAATGACGATCAACTCGTTCTTTATAAATTTCAATTTGGTGTTTAAATGCTGTTCGATCACGAATAGCTTCATCAAGGTGTCGTTCACGATCTTGTATTACTCGATAAAGCGTATCTAACTGTTGTTTTGAATGTGTATGATAATCATGTTTTTCAGATATTACTTGTTTTTCTATTGTTTTTATTCTCATAACTACTTCACTAATATTTCCATGTAAAGTGGCTATTTGTTGTGTAATATCTCTTTTTTCACGTTCCAATTGTTCTAATTTCATTAGATGTTCTTTGGTTATAAGTGAACCTGTATTTGATTTAAACATTTGAAAACGATATAATTCAAGTTCAAAATTTCTATGTAATTCTTCTCGATAAACATCAAGTTTGTTTTCATATTCAGTACGTATACGTTGAACTTCATCATTTAATTGATCAGCATAAAATTTCCATGGTTGAGTACTTGCTATTTCTAACATATTAACGGAATTTTTAACATCATCAAGAGCTGTTATATGAGTATCTTCTTTTGTTATTTTTTCATTTTCTAATACTTGTAGTTCCATTTGTGATGAATGTTGAGCAAATATTTCTTCATCTAGTTCATAACGTAAACGAATTTTTCGATCATGTAAAATTTGATTTCTTGATAAATAAAATTTATTTTCATCATCGAAATGACGTATACGACGTTGAAGAAATTGTGATTCCACATGATTTTGTGCTATTTTACGTTCAAAATCAAATAAACCTTTACTATAAGTATTTCGTTTTGCTAATAATTGTTGATATTGTCTATCATGTGCTTGTGTTGTATTATCTGCTTCATTTAATTTTCCTTCTAAATTAGGTTTTTGTTGTAAAGTTTCATGAATTAATTTTTTTGCACTGGCCATTTCTGTTTGAAACATTTTTTCAATAATTCCACCATCTTCTTTTATATGTTTTTCAAGCCATTTTATTTGTAATTCATGAACACCATTATGTGCTTGTAAAGTACAATATTTTATTATTGTATTACCAAGTGTTTCAGTTACTCTTGATAATTCACGTTGTTCATCAATAATACGTTCACCATCAATACTATGAATTTTAGATATTGTTGAAAATTTTGGATTTTGAACAAGTGATGCAAGACCATGAGTTGATGTTGCTGATGAAAAATGTGAACTAACATTTAACCAACCTGTACCACGATGAAGTCCTTGAGCATTGTTTGTAGGATTAGCTTTAATAACACGTGGTGCAATATATTTAATAATTGTTTTTGAATTATGTGGTGGTGCTGATGTATTTCGATTACATTTCTTTGGTCTATATATAGTGTCATCAAATTTTATACTTGCATCCATGTTGATTCACAGTCAAATAAATGATTTTTTTTTACATAGCCTCAAAAGTTTGTCTTATCGATAGGCTGATAGCAAGATAACTTTCTTTCTTTTTTGTCTCTGACTTTACTTGTACACACACACAATAAACAACTTTATTTTCGTTTTGTTATGTTGTTTTATCTTTTTTTTTCTTGCAAACATTGAGCTTCTTTTTAATGAAAATAGCACTCTATTGATTTGAATGCATACTTAAACTAAATGAATTAATTCAAATAGAAAATTATTTAATTAAAAAGATAATTGTTTCTATGTGGACATGATGTGCTATAATTCTATCTTATGTTGTCTTATAGTGTTAACTTGATTGATGCCAATATGTAAGAAAAGTTAATTATTTTAAAACAGAAATATTCGATGACACATTCATACTGATATGTTCTGTGAATTAAAGGCCGGTACACATTAGAAGACTCAAGGTCGTTTTCTTTATCTTATCATTCACTATTTACATAAGCGTCTTCTTTTACGTTTTTCGAAAGTCATTTCTTTGCAGTTTCAACGATAGTGTTGAATTTCAATAATTTTCTTGTATAATTTATTGTCAATAATTAAGCTCATTTTATTTATGCGTTACTCATACAATGGAAAAGAAATAGATAAGATTTCATTGAAACATAAAACAGATCATTGGTAAGAAAAGTATTTATGGAACAATACAGTTAATCAAACCCTAAAGACTTTTGACCATTTATAATAGTATTTTTTTTTTCTAAAATATAAAATCAATTATTCGTAACATTTATTGTTCTATATAGCTAAATAGTTGAAAGAGAGAAAATTAAAATTATTTTTATAATCAATATTATTAAATTATTTGTTTTTGTTGAGATTTGATTAATGTAGATGGAACCTGTTTAGTGTGAAACATACTACGAGTATAATTATTAGTAGTGTCCTTCAGGAACGATTTTTTTCCGTTTAGTTTTCCACGAGAACGGGAACGATATCTAAAAAGAGGCATTCCTGAAAGTCGTTTTGTTTTGTTTTGTTTTATTTTATGTATATACTTTTCAAACTTTGCTGTTTCAAACAAAAAATATTGAAGTCAAGGCGACATTACATTGATAGGAAATAGATATTGATATTCTTTTAAAGGCTTTTGCGTTGCTTATTAATAAAAAGGAAAATAAAAAATACCTATCAACAAAAATTAGATAAGTTCATTCATTATTCCTTAAATTGTTATTCTATTATCACAACTATTATTTTTCTTTTGTCGTGATTATCATCTTCGAAAGGACTATTATTCAGATTATCTCGCAATTTAACATTAATATTATCTTTTTGTCTTGAATACTTTCGTTTTTTCATCGGTGTTGTTGATATGCTAGTATGTTTTTCTTTTCTCAATTGTTCAATTGATGAAGGAAGTAATTCTCTTAACTTAACATTGATAAATTTTGATATGTAAATAATACGTTTGTTGACGTCTGATTTGAAAACTACTTTTGTATCAATTTGCAAAACAGAATGCATTCACAATCATAGAAGACTAACTTCATAGTACATGTTTTAATACATGTTCTCAAAGATATATTTTTCTCAGTTAACTATATGTTCCCTCCTGCCATGAGCATGTCTGAACTTTTACAAGAAAAGTGCATAGACGAATCGTGGTTTTAAGTCATGAACAATGAATTTTACTGAGCATGTTTCTGTTTGAGACTGAACTTTTCATGTATGATACGTTTGGATGCAGCAACGTGTTAATCATGCTCTATGATCAATTACGAAAACGAATTTTTCATAAGGGAAGCACAATCTTCCCTGTTGACTTTTGGTGCTAATTATTGCAATATGATATTCGAAAGTGACTAGCACGCTTCGCTTAATAGCATTAGGGAAGAGAAGTTACCATTAAATTACAACTTACTAGTAAGCCTACACCATCTAAAAATAAATTAGAATCTATGAATCATTTATTGAAATGTTCGATTTGAGTTTATCAGTCGAAGAAAGGGTATATAGTGGAAATAATGGTGTGTGATAAAGCTTGATCACAAGTCTTCAGGATCGAGCAATCCAAACCTAAAGATAGTTTCTCAATATCTTCTCATTCAACTTTTCGATTAGCAAAAGCTCATTTTGCAAACAAAAACAGCTTTTATAGAGTTTGAATAACATTACTGACATCTGATCATAACAGGCTGCATTATATATATATGAGTGAATTGCAACTTTTTGGTACGATTGGTGCGAAAAGCTGAAAGTAGACCATAACCATATAGGAGCGGTGCATTTTATTATACTCTATGCCTATGTTACACAGCGGAAGTTTCCCAACACTTTACCGTATATTAGTTGAGATACGCCTTACTCCAATGTAAATGTACCATAAAAAATCAAAAATGTCCTTTTACAGCTCATCATATAACGTAAATATCTCGAGAACAATAAGAGATATAAGGCCGATTTTTTACATGGACATGCAACTCTGAGAACTATATCTACAGTAAAAATTTGAGCGAGAACAAACTATAGTCCGTTTAAAAAGTCCGTGCGTGTGACTATTTTTTGAATATCTCGAGAACGAAACAAGGTGGACACCTGCGGTTTTCACCAATAGATAGCCGCGATGACAGCGCATCTTTTTTCTATCGGACAAAACGTTCGATGAATCCTCCTAGATTCATTTTTTAGCGAATCTCTGAAAGATTGGCTGATAGCTCCAAAACCTTACATAAGGATCTAACGATTTTTTTATGTCAGTATATAGACTAGAGCATCCTCTATATAAGAGAACTCAAGCGAACCTTTTATCTTTTATAGTTTGTGTTGGAGTAGCATTGTTGCTGAAACTTCTTACTTCACAAATATAATCACCATGATATGTCTAACGAGGGAAGGTCGCCAAGTGTGAGTCACCGTTTCGAATTTGGTATTTGCCATTTTGTAGATCTCAGTGAGTACAACATGTAATATAAAGGGTTCGTGCCCATACTGGACTTTTAAGGGACTACGAAGTACCATAAAGTGTGTCCCATAGTAACTGGGACTAACGTGTTAATGGTATTTTTCATACTTTATTTTTACATAGAGAACTGAAAATTTTATTACATATGTATCTAATCAAGACCTTTTATTCCTCAAAGTTTCAGCTCTCTAGCTATAACTAATGATGAAATACATTGACGAGATTGAAATACATAAATTTTCGTATGCGATTTTTGCATTATACAGTGAAAATAACGCAGATATCGAGTAGGAAAAATGTATTTCAGTGCTAGTTATAGCTAGAGAGGTGAAACTTTCAGGAATAAAAGGTCTTGATTAGATACATATGTAATAAAATTTTCAGCTCTCTACGTAAAAGTAAACTATGAAAAATACAATTAACACGTTATTCCTAGTTACTATGGGACACCCTTTATGGTACTTCGTAGTCCCTTAAAAGTCCAGTATGGGCACGAACCCTTTATATTACATGTTGTACTCACTGAGATCTACAAAATGGCAAATACCAAATTCGAAACGGTGATTCATACTTGGGGACCTTCCCTCGTTAGACATATCATAGTGATTATATTTGTGAAGTAAGAAGTTTCAGCAACAATGCTTCTCCACACAAACTATAAAAGATAAAAGGTTCGCTTGAGTTCTCTTATATAGAGGATGCTCTAGTCTATATACTGACATAAAAAAATCGTTAGATCCTTATGTAAGGTTTTGGAGCTATCAGCCAATCTTTCAGAGATTCGCTAAAAAGTGAATCTAGGAGGGTTCATCGAACGTTTTGTCCGATAGAAAAAAGATGCGCTGTCATCGCGGCTATCTATTGGTGAAAACCGCAGGTGTCCACCTTGTTTCGTTCTCGAGATATTCAAAAAATAGTCACACGCACGGACTTTTTAAACGGCCTATAGTTCAGCATCATCATTACCAAATGCAACTATAATAACAACAATACATCAAAATGAACGTTTATTATCAAATCTTACACCAACGCAACATATTAATTCAGTTATTCCTCAACAAATATATCTAATAAAAGATATATATATATGCTTAGTTTTAAAGTTCATTCATTTGATGGTCCCTCGATAGATAGATATATATATCCTTTGCTTTGAACTTTATTCGTTTGATGCTCCCTCGAATGACTAATGTCTGTGTGTAAACATGATATTCTTTGTGTTTGTTTTCGTTCATTCGCTCCTTCATTTTATTCTATAAATAGACGAAAATAACTCTTTTCTTTCATTCAGCCATTCTTCCAAATAAGAGCAACATGGACATGCAAGTAGTCATCATTGATTGTGGTAGTGGTATGTTTATTTATCGATATTATTAATAAGCAAAAATTTGATATTAAATAGGTCTTTGTAAAGCCGGTGTGGCAAGTAATGATTATCCTACATTAACGAATGATACAGTAGTTGGGTACGAAAATAAAAGTCACATTACTGGTGTATCCGACAAACGTTATTATGGTCAAGAAGCATTGGAACAGAAAAGTGAGTTTATCGAAGAGATTATGCATAAATTTCTGTTTGTCTTACTTTGTAGTGATTCAATTGTCATTTCTAATTAATCATGGTATCATTGAAGATTTCAACAAAATGGAAGAATATTTGACTTATATATTCAGTTAGGGGTGCACCAGTCCCAGTCGGACTAGGAACCCAACTCAAATGGTACCCAGTTCATCAGTCGGACTGGAACTGGTGCACCCCTATATTCAGTCGACTTCCTGTTAAATCAGAAGAATCCGTAATTCTTCTTACAGAAACATTATCTAATCCAAAAGTTAATCGTGAAAAAATAACGGAAATAATTTTTGAAAAATTTGGTACATCTGATAATATTTATCAAATATGACGATATTTAATTTTAAAAAAACTTATCTCTTATAGGATTTTATTTAGCAAAAGGTGCGGTTTTGACATTACTTGGTACTGAACGTACCACCGGTATCGTATTGCACAGTGGTCATGGTGTTAAATATTCTGTAACAGTAAATGAAGGTATTCATTATATTGTTTTTTATTTATTAATTTCACTGTTTATTTTTTCTAGGTAATGTTGCACCAAATACTTTACGACAAATGGATAGTGCTGGTGGTGATGTAAACGAGTATTTGATACAGTTATTAAATAAAAATACAAACAATTCAGTTAATAAAAAAGATCGTAATGCTGTTAAATATATAAAAGAACATGTTTGTGAAGTAATGTCGAGTACTGTAATACGAAATAAGTCAATCATCAAATACTTTTCACCAGAAGGAAAATGTTTTCAAGTTGGTGAAGAAAGATATGAATGTATGGAAATATTATTCAATCCTGGACTTTTGGGACAATATTGTGATTCTTTTATTCTTTCTTTTATGCTTATCTTTTCTTTCTTTTTAGCATTGACAGGAATTCACAGAATGATCTACGATCCAATTATGAATTCTGATATTGATATTCGTGAACAATTATGTTCCAATATCGCACTTTCGGGTGGTAAATTTTCATTATTTCATTTCAACATCAATACATTTCTTTTTTTTTGTAGGGACAACAAAGGCTAATGGGATTATCCAGCGACTTGATGGGTATATTCATGCATTAATGGGACATAATTTTCAAATCAATATTGCTGGTACAAGTGAGGGTGAAAAGCTTATTTGGAAGGGTGGTAAAAATTTAGCATCGTCATATTCATTTAAACAATTATACTTAGGGTTATCCAAAAGTAGTGACGGAGGTTCTTTTTTTTCTTATAGAAAGCTTGAAAAAATTTTCTTTTTTGATGAATAGATAGAGTGCCTTTCGCTCTATCTTTCTATGCTATTTGACCACTATTAAACAAATATCATAATAATAAAATTTCGATAAGAGCTATTTTTGTTGAAAACTAGCTGGTAACATTTAGTTCATATAATGAGTGTGGTATTTTTGCATTCCACTTTATTATCACATAATATGTTGTATTGAAAAAACGAAATATACCAGAAGATGCAGCGTGAAAAGCTCTACAATTTATAAAGTACCGCTTATTTTATAGTTGTACTTTTTGTTCTAAAAATGGACAAAACTCTGAGCTGTCAAATTTCAACGTTGCGAAAACAAGATTGTTTTTTTGGTAAAAGATGAATTCCGTTTTTCCTATCTCATCTTTTTATTACTTGATACGTTTTATTTTAAAAAGCAAAATACACTGCAAGATGCAGCGTGAAGAGCTCTACAATTTACAAAGAACAACTATACAAAGATAAGATAGAAAAAGACCGAGTTCGTTTTTTTACCAAAAAAAGGTCTCGTTTTCGTCACATTGAAACTTGGTAACTCAGAGTTTTGTCCATTTTTAGAACAAAAAGTACAACCATAAAATAAGCGGTACTTTATAAATTATAGAGCTTTTCACGCTGCATCTTCTGGTATATTTTGTTTTTTTTAATACAACGTATGGAGTGATAATAAAATGAAATGCAAAAGTGTCCCATTTTTTATACCACACCCATTATGATCTAAATGTTACCAGCTGGTTTTCAACATAAATAGCTCTTATCGAAATTTTATTATTATGATATTAGTTTAATAGTGATCAAATAGCATAGAAAGATAGAGCGAAAGACACTCTATCTATTCATAAAAAAAGAAAATTTTTTCAAGCTTTCTATAAGAAAAAAAGAACCTCCGTCACTACTTTTGGATAACCCTAAGTACATTACCAAACAGGAATTTGATAAATATGGAAAATATGTCATAAATGAAAACTTTGATAAAACAATTTAAAAAAATAGCTTTTTATAAATTATGTACACGTATTTTTCTGCTCATGTTTAAATAAACATTAAACAAAGAATAAATTTTCTTTATTGGTTACAATAAACATACATCTATTCAATGTTGAAGAAAAAAAGAAATACATTTAGATATTAACGTTAGTGTCAAAAGATTTTTACTTGAAATTGTCACTGGAATCCATAAATTATCTTTTGAACAAAGACTTCCTTGACAACAAACCTAAAAATATAAATACTATAAATCCTAAAAAAAGTTAAGTCTGAACCTCAAACCCATTTGGATTACGTAATTCAATATTTGATACACCAGTATAAATTATATGCACTGTTCTACTATCAGTTGCATAAGCAACACTTTGTACAATAGGATCTTGAAATTCAACTTGTTGTCCATAAGCAACCGCAAGACCAGAACGTGATAATCGATAACCTACATCATGTTTATATCGAGGACGAACACTAGAAGAATGGAAAATTTTAAATAATAAGTAGAAAATTTCAGCTTATCCATTAGGATCATCAGGTAAATCCAAAGCAATCACAATAAAGATTTTTGGAGCAACATTATTTGGAACATAACCAATATCAAATGTTTGATGCCATCGAATTAATGAAAAACCACCGACTACTGTACTTGAATTCGTAGTTGTTGATAACTATATATAAAATGAATTTTTTTCTAATATATAGCAATGAAATTTAATTGAAAAAAACCAAATGGAAAATAAATATCCGTTATATCATTTGCACGTTCATTCCATGTTTGTCTCCAATATTGAATCATTTTCGAAAATGAACAAGCATATTTATCCGTATTATAACCAGCATTTGTTTCACCTAAATAAATAAAATAAAAAATCTATCACAATCTTGTTGTTATTACCTTGATACCATATTGCACCATAGACAACAGTACATGTAAATGGATAGATCATTGCATTAAATAAATTTGAATGATTAAGTGTTGTCGTTACAGAAGGATTATCATATGGTTGGATTGGAACATCTCTATTTCTATATCAAAAGTGAAATGAAATAGATAAAAGAAAATTTTAAATATATACATTGGAATGCCACAATCTTGTAATGCTTTTGGTGGCATTCAAAGTTCAATAGCTGTTACACCCCAACTAGTAGCAATAAGACCAATCGGCCGACCATTTAATGCTTTATGAATTATACGACCATAAAGCCAACAAATAGCTGACATACAACTCTAATTTGGTCCACCAATACTTTTTGATGATCTATTGACCAATTTAATGTAATACCAAGTAATTCTTCAACAGGTGTTGTTCATGGTTTAAGTGCAGCAGTAAATACTCGAATTTTTGGATAATTACTTCCATTAGCAATTTGTCCTGTTACATTGAAAATCAAACTCACTGTCATTTGCATATTTGATTGACCTGAACAAATCCAAACATCACCAAATAAAACATTATGAAGTGTAATTGTAACAAGTGTTCCATTAGCTAATTGTTGTGAAACGTGAATATCAAATGGTCCTTCATCATATACAGGTTCAAGTGTTATTGACTAAATACTTTTACCTTATTCATTGACTAGTTCGGAACGACTTATTGTTGTATAAACTTTATTATTCATTTTGAGAATAGTTAATTTACTTGCATCTCCATATCCCCATATAACGGCTCTTCGTGGAGCTCGTTGAAGTATCATATGATCTTGAATATAATTTGCAAAACGAGGTACTCCATTACTTTAAATCACATCAAATTTTTATTTTATTCAAATTTTCAAATAGATTGATACTTACACTGAATAACCAGAATAGAAAAAAAAATAATAAACCGACACGAGCAATACTCATTTATATTTTGTTTATCCGACACTTTTTTGTATCGATTTAAATATAGACAAGATAAAAATACGGTATACATCATTTCATCAGGTGCATGGTAGTTATAAAAAGAATGTCAACAATCTATAATATATCTTTCATTTCGAAAAGTCAACTCGACTATCTATTATCAGATAAAAAACTTAATTTCTAAATAAAAATTGATATTGAACTAACTTTCTATACAAGTTCTTTTTCAAAATATTTATACATATTCGTCAACATCATTCATATGAATATGACTAAATTGTTTCATTTACTTAGTGAACCTTATTTATTTATGAAAGTAAAAAATTCATTAAAAATCCAAGGTTTTTCAAAAGCAAAAAAAATTTATTAAATATTCTTTTATCATAAATTTACAATTCTTATAACTCTCACAGATATAAAAATCATAATCTTTCTGCTCATATTTAATCTTTAATAAATATTTCTCTGAGAAGGAAAACTGATATAGACATTCTATCAAGAAAACGGAACTAGATGGACAAAATGAATACCTTATATTCATTTAGAAAAATTTTTCTAGCTGGATTATTATTAATTTGAAAATTAATAAAAACAAACAATATACAATAAAAAAGTTCGAAGAATTTTTTTTCTGTTGTTAATTACTGATATTTTAATAACTGAAAAAAATCGTCCAATTCTTTCATCATTAGTCTAATTTTGTTGATGAATAAATTCTTGTTTTAATAAACGTTTATCGCCATTTTGATTAAGTTTTTTAAATAAATATTTAACTTGAGCATGAATTGAATACATTTCACGTTTTTCATTATCAGCTAAACCAGCTACATCATATATTGATTCAATTAATGGTTTTAATTCATTTTTTTAAATATCTAGAATTTGATAATTTTAATTTATATTGAAAAAATAAAAAAAAAGAATATGTACCCATTATGATTTCTATCAAACATATCAAAAAGTAAACCAAGAAATGTTCTTTCATTATCATTTTGTATATTATCATCATTTGAATCTAATTTATGTGTTATTTTAATAAATTCTATAAAATCAATTTTTCCATTTCGATTTTGATCTGTATTTATTTTGTAAATTAAATTAAATTAAAAAAAGAATAATTAAAATAAACTTACAAAATATGAAAAAGATATGAAACAAGCTTTTCAATATGTCCTTCAGGCCAAATTTCATTTAAATTTTCATATAATTGTTCACGTGTTATTAAACCATCAGGATATTGTTCAAGAAAAGCTGTATGACGACGACGAACTTCACCATCAGATAAATTTGTTTGACGACAAATTTCTGTTATTTGTTTAGCAGTAAATTCTGTTATTGATGAAACAATTTTTGATTTACGACTGCCCATGATTTTAAAGAAAATCAAATAACAGAGAATAAAAAAAGTAAGCTAGATAAACAATATGAGCTTTGCTTACGTCATTGAATTATTGACAAACGTACATTTGTGAATTTATTATTTTCTATCATAATTCAAGGGAAAAATCTGCGTTAATTGATTATCGATTTAACAAGAGGAAAAAAAAATTTAATATTCATTATTGACATTTATTTTTTATTAAATATAATCCTTTTTCACAAATACCAGTCTATCATTGATTTCATCAACGAATCAAGTCTTGTGCTGATGAAATTGAACTCACACAGATACTCAAACAGACCGAGCAAAAAGTTTTGCATTTTTTTCATTCGCATAGATTTCGTAGAATACTTAGACATATTTTATTTCTATTTAGAGGAAGAAGAAGAAGAATATGTTCCTTGTTTACATTCCTATGCAGTTCCGTCGATCACAATTGCTGATCATAATTATGATGACGACGACGAGAACGAAACTACTGAATATGCATTCGAACAATTCCGATATAAATTGATGAAATCAATTTTAAATGACAAAATATTGAGTGAGATCATCAATGAACATGTTCTCAATTCTTATTCAAATGATCTCGTGCGAACTTTTTGCACCATTGTCGAGAAAAATTTCGATAACAATCTTATTCAATGTCAAAAAACAATCGAATTTGTTTCACGTTGGTTATTACTCGTTGATGATAATGATCGTCAATCGTTAGAAGATTGTCCACATAAACATATTTGGCTTCTTGCTCATATTTATACATCATTCGAATATGATCAAAGTAATCTATTCTCCTTATATTCAGCATGTCGCATTACAGATCGTCTTGATCTGACACTATCATTCTACCATAATTTATTCGTCGATAATTATGTAACACGTTCCGAAATACGTGAAACTTTGTTTTGATTAATGTTTGATTATTTGTGGGAAAATCTTTGTTAATTTTGTTTTGACAATGACATTAGTGAAATATGGATTCATACTTATACGTTTATTTCCAAATATTATCCATTATATAAAGTTTTACACCGAACACAACTTGTTGAAATTAAAGATCGAATTGAATTTATCAATTTAGCATAGCTCATTCTTCTCAATAATAAAACACTCGAACCGAAACAACTCCTATCTCATTTTTTGAAAGATATACATCTCGTTTATGTCAATAATAATGGTCTAAATAGAAATTATGACAAATCTGCTTATCTCAAATTGTTACCGAAAATCATTGACACCGTTCAACAATATTTAGAGCAAAAAATGCTCAAAATTCAACATTGATGATCGATTTACAACAATGGATAATTACTATGTTAAAATCATCGACAGAATTATGCAAAGAAGAAATTAATAATCTTTTCAAGGATTTCAATCAATCAACTTATCATTTACCATTACCCATGAAACAATTTTTGTTCGATGAATTGATTAATCTATATCTTGAATCTATACGGAACAATAGAATGACATTCGATTGTTAGGATCGAGTTATTAGACTTTTACCATTCGTTATGAAATGTGTTGTTGATGACAATCTTTTGGAAGGATATCAACTTCCATATCATCCATCAGTTGTTGCTATTAACGATCAACGGCAACTACTCATCGATTTATTATTCTTCTATCTTCAACGATATTTTAATGATCAGATCATCAATTGTCAATTTGTTAATAAAGTTATGCAATCAACATTACCAAAATACGAGAAACAGACGTCCAACGGTTGTTTTCCAAATTTTCGAAAAGTTAAAAGAATATTTTCTCTTACGATCGACTGATTTGTTACTATGTCAAATCAATGTATCTCCGGATGAACAACGAATTATCAATCGTATTACAATGACAATCATCAATAGTTACTTGTCGATTAATAGAAAAGCAATTCAGCTTAGTCGACATCTTCAAATCTTTCTTTCTACAATCATATCAAAACGATCGTGGGATTTTCTTGTCAATTCATTAAAATCAGATCATATGCAAATTCTCAATAGTCAATGGGCAACTACTGTATGTAGTTTCTTCGAAACAAATCAAACGACACAACGTAACAAATATCTTCAATTATGTCATCAACTACAGTTTACATTATCAACAAATAATACTTCATCCATATTTCCAAAACAGCAAGTTGATAGACAACAATGGAAAGATCTCACAGACTGGATTCAACTAAATCGACATGCGAATCCTCCAACTCTTGAATTGAAAGGGAACAAAGTTATGTTATTATTAAATATCTATTATGATTATTATTGTAATAATCAACTGACATTTCTCAATACACTGTTACCATTGATTGAAAGCATGTTACAATCATTACCAGGAGAATTACGAGTTTTTCGAGCGTTTTTGCAACCTGAACAATTTATGATTGGATATTCTAGAGAAAATGATAATGCCGACAAGGATTTTCTTAACAGTTTATTCAGAGTTGATTGCAAAGACGAAGATGAATTATGCATTCATCATTCACTTGTAAATCTTCTAGTCATGTTTCTTATGGGTGGTGGCAAACAAAGTTTTTTATGGACATTTGCATTTCATCCATTGACATTGCAGAATAAATTTGGTATGTACTCATATGTTATTCGACAAAGAAATATATTTACAGAGTAAAAATGATTCTATTTTTCTTTTTAATAATAGGCTTTGCGTCACCAGCATATCATTCGGAACAATGGTGTACATTATGACTGTGGTTGGATTATCACGCAAAATGGGGATTTAATGCAATTCGAAAGAATATATGTAAGTACACTAAATGTACCCGCCGTTTACGTTGCTTATTTCTCAACATTCGGTGCTAAATTGTTCGTGATAATACAGGTGTAATAACATTGAATGAAAATGATTGTTTATGGGTTGAAGAAATAGCTCGTGCTGCTCTCATTAATAAGAATGAAGAATATTTTCAAAAAGCAGATACACAATTCAATTTTGATTTTGTTTATCTTCAATCATATATTATTCGTACGTATCTTCGTCTCTGTCGTAACCGCGCAAGTGAGACCATTTATGTATCTATACATATCGATCAAAACCGCGGCAAGAACCAGAAAAACTGTGGTTTAAGTTGCAAAAAAAACTTACGTCGGCGCTCAACTGTCTCTGTTCTCACCACGGTTTTCATCGGTTATATAAACGCATAAATGGTCTGGCTTTCGTGTTTCATTAATACTGTGGTTTTCTCACAAAATTTTTTCCATGGGATCGTACATAATTCTTTCATTACCGGGTAAATAAAATTCATCATTGAATAATATCTTTCACATATTTACTAATAATTACAATTAGAAAGCTTAAGCAGAGATTTTCATCTTTATCAAGATCATTAGCAGTTAAATGAGTTATTCTGTGTATAAAAAAAAAATATTATAAACTTTTTCTAAAATGTCCAAATTTCTGAAACTATCGGTTTCCAATAGCATGAATCGTATTTATTGATAAACATCAGAAAATTTTGATAACAACGAACGTTTCAATCATATTTTTGATGTTTTTCTAAATTTTTTTTTCAATTCTTTTTTTGTCCAAAAAGTTAATTTATTAAATTGCTGAATCATCAATTTTGTTAAGATATATTTTGAATAAATTTTACGTCTTCATTTTCTTCTATGAAAATAACAAATCTAAAAACAAAAACAACAAACCATTCGAATAAGCTCGAATAAAAGTGTTAACAAAAAACAATTCTTTTTTAGTAAATAAAGTAAACAATTTTTCTACAAAAATTCTGTTCTATTACTACTAGAAACACACCATAAGCAGAAATAATTTTGTTTTGTCAAAGATCAACCAGAGATATCATTAAGAAAACGGCATTGTGGAAGTGAATTAACGCTGAGATATTGTTTTGCTAAAACAATAAATAAAAAAAAAGGTGTTAGTGCAATCCATGAGGAATTAAAATGTGAAACACGATGTTACTGATCACGGAGACATTGTTTTGTTCTATCTATTTTGGAACACATTTCTTTACCATCCTTTAACTTAATCCTCAAGAAATGCAATAAGGAAGTAGTTCATATAACGCACGATCCAAAAGCTTTGAGATAAACTATTTTTCCATTTTTCATGCTCTAGGATCACAACTTTTGTGAACCTCATAAGTAAGAAGTTATGTATGAATCTTTGAATAGCCTGAAAACAATTGCACTGGCAGATTCAGTGACGTAGCATGTAATCATATCAAGTTGAAAATCCATTCTATGGTTTTTTTCACCAATTTTTTACTCGACATCTTTGTATTTCTGTCATAGGGTACCAGTTTCGCTTAGGTTCATTTCGTTTTATTTAACTACGTCATGGTTTGAAAATTGTTTGGTTTGGCATCTAGACAATAGATGTTCTTCTCAGCATCGATAGTATTCATTGCGTATATTCTATTAGCAATTTTTTTTGCACAATATAATAGGCGAGACTCTACTCCACAAAGTATTCTAAGAACCGAAGGTCTCGAAGCAATTCTCCATAATTGATCGAATTGATTTTATAAGTCTTGGAATCAAACAACTGCGAAAATGTCACTGAGTCTCTTGCTAAAAGTCTTATTGTCGATAGACGCCTGACAGAAAAGCAACAACCAGAATATTATTTTTTTTGGAGAAATATTTGTTTTTTTCTTTTCGTGTATTTAGAATAAATTTTAGTTCTACACTAGATGTTTTTTTGCGCATTGAAACCCATTCTGGTTTTATTTTCGAGCCTTTCAGAGAAACACTCATAACTCTTCATCTACAAGTCTCATAAAAATCTCGAATTAAAAATGAAAGAAGATTTCGTCTTAAAATTCTCAGACCACCCGTTATATTATAACGAGACAGTATTGATATATGAACTATGATTGTATATCAACAACATCTGTCATGATCTGTACTTTCCCATGGTTATGTTGCGGTCTGTAGAGGGAGAGAATATATCTAAAATTTTACCTCTCTACTTTAACACTCCTTTTAGATCTTGTGTTCACAAAATGCTCTTACATTTTGGAAGTTTTTTAGCTGCAATATGTAATTTTTCTACAAAATCAGGAATTCCTAAACGAAAAACAAACGAGACATAATTTAAGTAAAAAAATAACATCATATTAAACATTACCACTTTGAGCTAAATATGAGTAAGTTGATGTAGGTATCGATGCTTTTGCATCTTCATAATATGTTAATAAAAATTTCATTCCTTTCTTTAAAAAAAGAATTTAATAAAATTAATTCAAAAATAAAATTTTTTTATTCTTTTTGTTAAACTAACTTCATCAAGGTTATGTTTTGATTGAATAATCATTGATGATTCATATTTCTTAACTCGTACACATTTTTTATCATTACGAACATTAGGATGATTAATTGAATGACATTTAATAAGAATTTTCGGTGATGTACTCATTGATATATCAAGACAATAACGTCTAACATAAAGATAATCACGATGGTTCAATGGAAATGGAAATTTTTGTATCCAATGAACAATATCACTTTGAGTATCTTCATCAGTATCAATGATAGATAAATGTAAAGCATGATCATCCCATTTCATTCGATAATCAAGATCAAGCTTTGAAAGACATAAATTTCCTATATAAAAAATATTCATTTACTCAATGAACTTACTTACTTGTACTTGAAGAAAAACTAATGCAGATATATCATTAAATGTACCAAAAACTTAAAGAAAAATAATTCAATGAAATAAAGATAAATGAAATCTATCTACTTTTATATGCATAAACTTGTAAATCATGATCATATTTACGAAAAAGTAATAAATGATCTTTTCGAAGAATTTTTTCCCAACCAAGTGTAATTAAAGCTTCATCAACTTGACTATGCGTCATGTTAAGTAAATATTCATCAGAACTTGCTTGTTGTCTAAATTAAAAATTCTTATTAGATTAAATATTGATGACATTAAAAATTAGAAGTATCACTTTTATTTTAAGGATTCTCCAAGCATTAAACTATCAAAGTCCAGAATCATATTTTTAATTTTTATTCTATCATCATCTTATAAAGTTTAATAAAACACAAAAATGTGATTCTTCATATTGTCCAACAAATCGTGGCATAGAAATAATCATGAAAATTTTCCACATAATTAAAATAAATTCCAATGAATTTTTATTTTATATTCATATAAACACGAATCGATTCCAAACTATTCTATTTTGTTCTGTGTAGTTTTCTTTTTGTATCATCAGACAGATCGATTCAAAGGAAAATAACTACAATTTTAATCTGTTTAGTAATATAAAAAACAATTGGATAAGACAAAACTGAACAAATCTTGTAGAGTGTCAAATATTCCTGTAGAAGAAAATATGAACCACCGTCAGTGATAGAGATGTGGAACGTTACTCTGCTCTATTCTGCAGGGTAAAGCAAGGTGATTCTTCAATCTTTGTAGATATCTATTTTTAAAACTGGTGAATACATAATTTGGAAATAAAAATTTGAAGACATTTGAAATGGTTCTCTATATTTCAAAACTATCAGAATCTGACAAACTCGACAATGAAAATTAATTTGTGTTGTAAATTTTTATTATATTAATGAAGAATTAGAAAAATACTAATCGAAAACGAATATTTTCTTAAACTTACAATTCTTCATCAGTAACTCCATCATTTTCCCATGAAAATACAACTGCTGCACTTGTTAAAGCACCAATAATTGATGAACCAAATAAAGTCGATTGTGTATGATATTTATTTCTATAATATTTTCTTTCATTGTCTTCCCAATCATATTTATTTAATGAAATATTATCAATTTTTCGATTATTAATAAATAAAAGTGGACTAAATGAAAGCATATAACGATGTCGTTTACATTCATCATAAAAAAATCTTAACGGCCATTTACTAAATGATTTCGAACATCGAATAAACCATTCAATCCACATCTATTGTTCTTTTTTTTGTCTAAAAAAACAAATTAACCATACGACTTCATATCCTGATTCAAAACAAAAACAAAAGATCCCACAAATATTTTCGTCTTATACCCTATGAAAGAATTTAGCAGGAATATTTTAATAAAAAAGAAAAAAAAAACATTCGTTAATAATTCATAGAAGTATACGAAAAACAAAATTCTTTGCTGTAATTTTTTACTCATACATTGCAGAATGGAAGCAAAAAAGAAAAAAAAAAGCCTATCAGGCAATAGATTGCAATAGAAGGAAAAAAACGAAAATAGGACGGAGTATAAAAAAATTCAAATTATTTTAAAATTTAATTTTTTCTTTAAGTATTAATTCATATATTTCCGGTGTTAATCGTTCGTAAGTTTGTTTCTCTTGATTTAAATAATAGATTGATTCGGTCACACGATTTAGATCATATGCTTCTTCTTGAAAAACTGTCTTTTTTACTTTGAATGTACCTATAAAAAAAAAAGAAAATTATTTAAGTGATATTAACAAAATAACGAATAATTGGAAAATTTTTCGATAAGATGTTTGTTCACTTTTGACTCGTTATGACCAGAATCTTGTACTCTTTTCGAATATGGGCCTGGAAGTTTTGTTCGAAAGTAGCGAAAAAAACTCAAAAAATTAATTTGGGCGTTAAATTTTTGTATTTTCAGTATTGCAATGCGAAATTGATATTTAGAATCTTTATTTATATAGTAGCTTATAGATCAGAAGCTACCCTACAATATACACTATTTGAATTTTTTTCTAAATACTCATTTTTGAAAAATTGACAACTGTTTTACATCGACAGGAGATGTTAAAAAATGCTTATAGCTATAGCTTACGAGGGAACCACCCAAGATGATACCTCGCGTTTGAAATATGATCTCAATCATTACGTAGAACCTGTTAGGACTATAAGAAATCTAGAAGGATTCTTCCTGATGCTATGCCCTTTTGGAGTTCTAAGCGTTATACTAGATATTTTTACCTTTGACATGGTATTTATAAAAAAAAACCTAGAAAAACGAATTTTGACCTAAAACTTTGCTCAGAGACAGCTCTTGAAGTTACTAGAACGTTCTAAAAATTTTAGTCAAACAGAGTGATCCCTTTTCGAGATATCAAATTCACAAAAAACCATGATATTCCACCCAAAGAACAGAAAATTTAGTTCTCTTGTGGATTTGATATCTCGAGAAAAGACCACTCTGTTTGACTGAAACTTTTAGGAAATTCTAATGACTTCCTTCAAGAACTGTCTATGGGCAAAATTTTAGGCCAAAATTCGTTTGTCTGGTTTTTTCATAAACACTGTACTGAAGATTAAAAATCTAGTATAACAACCATAACTCCAAAATGGCAGCACACCAGGAAGAATCCTTCGCGGTTACTTTTAGTTTCAACAGGCTTTACGTAATAATTGGAATCACCTCGCATAATTATCTCGTAAGGTCATATTCAAAAACAGCACCAAATCACAACTTTTGACTTGTCTTTAGTACATTCTAGTGAATCAGAAGTGAACGAACATCTTGTCTAAAGATTTTCCAACCATCCATTCAATATAAATTAACCTGTTAATTCAATATTTTTTGTCAAACGAATAAAACATGGTCGAGCATATGGAGGTAATCCTTGTTTTTTAAGTTCGCTTACTATTGTACTCAAATCAGTTGATACTGACGGATCATCAAGCATAACAGCCATTCCTGCTTTTCCATCAAATCCTATTATGAAAAATGTTATTATTAATTATTTCTTTACAATGAAAAAACAAATTTTCAAACCTGGTACTTCAACTCCAAAAACGACAATATCATTTTTTTTAAGAACAGTCATAAGAATATTTTCAACTTCAATTGTTGAAACATTTTCACTCTTCCAACGAAATGTATCACCTGTACGATCACAAAAATAAAAATATCCATATTTATCAGCAAAAATGACATCGCCTATGCAAAAAAAATACATACATATATTCATCTGTCTTTGATTTTAATTTTTACCTGTATTAAACGCTCGATCACCTATTTTATAAACATTTTCAACAACTTTACGATTCGTTCCCGATGGATTATTAACATAACCGTCAAATGCATTTAACATACTTTTTCTAATCATACCTAATAATAAACCACGTTCACCTCTTTTACATCGTACACATAATTTTGTTTTTTCATCACGTAATGGTTCCATTGTTTCAGGATCAAATTTAACAAGAACAGAACCAAGTAAACCAGGTATAAGTACAGAAAAAAAACCGCAAGCTCCTGGATGACCGTCAAGATTAACTACAAAAGAAAAAAACGTAAAAATTTTTAATAGATAAAACTCCCAATGTAAGAAAATAATATTACAAAAATAAGCATTGCTTTCAGTTGCAGCATAAAATTCATAAATTTGATGTATATTAAATCGTTTTACAAATGGTATCCATAAATTTTGTCGAAGTCCATTACCAGAACAAAGACGAATAGAATGTTTTTGATCATACTCACTAGGTGGCTGTGCAAGTAAAAATCGACATAATTCACCAACATATGAAAAACCCTTTTCAAAGAAAAAAAAAATGTTTATTTTATTCAAATTATTTTCTATTTACTGTGCATTTATATTGGATACAATCTTTCCAAAAATTTTTAGCTGAAAATTTTTTACGTAATACCGTTGTACAACCACCTAAAAGACTAAATGAAGAAAAAAACAAAAGACAGATATTATTGATTTAATATTCATCGAAATGTACCTGTAAGTAATGCCAATCCAACCTCCTATAAAATAGGAAGTCGATTACATGAAAAAACAAGTGATTAGTTTTTTCTTTCGGGAGAGAAAAAACCTACCGAGCGAATGATAAAGCGGAAGAGTATTATACATTATATCTGCAGATGTAATACCAGTTGCACAAAGAAAACCAAATCCACCAAGAAAAAACCTATGAAAGTTAAACATTAATGTTTTTCTTTTTAACTTATGAAAAATTGGAAAAAACAAATTATCCTTAATCGACTCTCTCTTGAGAAATCACCAGTGAATGCTCTGAAATATAGAAAGTCGATGGTGAATCTCCAGAGACTCCTGAGTAACTCTCTTAAGGGTGTACTCCCTTCCTCTTTTTTTGATCAAAACTCAATTTCACGCAGGACATAGAGTATGATACCCTCAAGTGCCATTTGCAATTAGAAACATCATTCAACTCTAAACAACTTACGATTACAGAGTTACTGGACCCAAAAAATTATTTTCTTTTGTTTAGCGTGAAAGCACAATATCAATTTTCTCAATCCTGACTGCTTACGACCTTTCTCTAACTTTGTCCGATCGGGTTGAAATTTTTACAACGAATACTTGCAATTATCCTCCAGAAGTAAAATCAACCATTTTCGTTTTCGACTTTTCTATTCGAATTGATAGAGTTCTGAAACTCAACACTCCGATTTTGGCTTCGAATTTTAGCATATTTCTCTCATAAAAGAAAACCAGATTTTCGAAAATACCTCTGAGGTATCTTCCAAAAAAAATTTCAGTCAGATCGAGTAAAGTTTGATGAGGATCGTAATATACCACCATGTAGTCCTATGAAAAACCAAGGTTTCCTTCGGACACGTGTTTCCTTATTTCAAGTGCTCTATCTGTTACCTGATCGGTTGTACCTTCTTCGAGAATCAGGCATGGTCAAAAAAAAAAAGGATGGAGTATATCCCTACGAAATGTATAGGATGTCCTTACTTTTTAGGAAGTATCCGAGGCATTCTTTGGAATTTATTAGAGAATGCGTAACTTGTACATTTTAGACTTATGGGTAAATTTACAAAAGTATTTATTTAGAAAATGAATTGTGCTCTTTTTTTTGTTTAGATTAATCTTAACGACACCTTCAAGAGTAAGCATCAATTTTAAAAAAATTAATGTTTTTCTTTCCCTATTTAGATTGATTTTAGCAATAATTTCGAAAAAAAGTACTGGTTTAAGACAAATAATAAATTGTATTCATTTAGATAAATCTTACGAACAACAGCAGCAATGGTAACTAGTAGTTTCAAACAACAGATTATATTCTTTTTTATTTAGGTTAAGTTCTATAACAATTGCAAAAGTATGTGTTATTTTACAAAATATAACCTATATTATTTTATTTAAACTAATCACAAGACAATTACAATGGTAAGTATTAATTTATGTAACCGAATTGTATCCTTTTTATTTAGATAAAGTTCAACAATAAGTACAATTGTCAGTAATACTTTAAAAGTATAAAATTACCTTTCTTTTTTTATCTACGGAGATAAGATAAGAAGAAAATCACCTAACCTTTGCCCTATTTCTACGTAACGAGCGTCTCGCGTGGATACGAAGATGAATAACAAAAATTGTGACTTTCATCATGGATACTAGAGTAATCTTTCGAATATCTCTAGTGACTTCTTGTTAACTTCATTAATTGACTCGAAATATTTTCTTCAACAAACCTTGAATGTTTAATAACTGCTGCTTTAGGTAATCCAGTTGTTCCCGATGTAAAAATATAGAAAACTGGATCTATAAAGAAAAATAAATAAATAAATATTAAAAATTAAATTGAACTATTAATTTATGTTTAATTCATATACGTTTCATATCGTATGGAATTGGATTAGGTGGTTCAGTTGAACATACTTCTAATTGTTCATATAATGGAACAAGTTCAAAAGATGAAGATATTGATTCAGTAGTATTATTAATTTGCTCTGCTGTTGTTTGTTTTGGATCAAATAAATAAACTTTTTTTATATTTAATTCTTTTAAGTCAGATTCAATTTCTATTTAAAAATTAAAATCAAAATTTAATAAATTTAAAAAAAATATTATTACCTGAAAAAATTTCTTTCGATGTAATAATAGTATTAGTTTTAACTGTTCGAATTGAATGTAAAAGTGGTTTAGCACGTAGATTTGTATTAATTAAAGCAGTTATACAACCAATTTTACTTAAACCAATCCATACACATGGATATTCAAGTGAATTTTCAAGTATAAGTGCAATAACATCACCATGTGAAAAACCTTCAGCTGAAAAATAATTCGCCAATTGATTTGTTAAATCTTCAACCTTAAATTATCATATAAAAAAACAATAACAATTTTTTTCTCATAATTTCATTTTTTTTTTTGTTAAAAATATTTTCTACAAACTTGTTGAAATGAAAGAGTTTGATTTTCCAAAATAAAACATGGTTTTGTTCGATAACGTTTTACATTTTGACGAAATACATTAATAAAATCTCGTTGACGATATATATTATATTTAATTATGAAAGTATGTTTAAGAAGTGTATATAAGCCACAAATATCACGTGATAAAGTTTTTAAAACAATTAATAAAAATTCGAATAATGATAAAATGGAAGTCCAAATTCTATCAAACATCTAAAATAACGAAAAGTAAATTTATTTACAAAAAAAACTAAATCATTTTAAAAAGGATATCATTTTAGATATTCATCAAATTATCTAATATTTCAATCAAATATGTTCGCTTTTTTTTTCTTGTATCTTCACAGTAAAAAAAATACAAAAATTTCGCTTGAATTCTGATGGTGTTTTTTCATAAAACAAAAAAAGTATGAATAGTTTCGATTCGCATAATCGTACACAATTTCAAGCGAATAAGTAGCCGAAGGCAAAGTGAAGTAGATAAAGAAGTGTGTTTTTTTCATAAAGTGCTGAATATAGAAACAATAAAATTGAAGAATATAAAAAAAGAAGGTTATAAACTTCTGATATCGTCTCTACATGTTATAGAAATAAGCATGTTGATTCATTGCAAATAGACATCATGCAGAGAGTCTTTATATAACTTTCCCTTGATAACTCAATACACCTGTCGGTCAGACTATGATCATATCTAAGTTGGTAGATGAAGTTACTCAGAAAAGAAAGAAAAATTTTTTATTCTTCGAAAAAACAACAAGAAAAAAAACCAAAAAAAAAGAACGTACGAAATGTATGTTGGTGATATATTCAGGGTCAAAATACACTCACACATTCAGAACCTTTTTTTTCAAGTCGTAAAATACAGGCACAATGTGTGTTAATATGTTTACAAAGGAAGAAAGAGAGAAACAGAATAATAGTAATAATAATAAGCAAAAGAGATAAGTTACGGACAAAACATATAAAACACTGTAGTTAACATTTTCTTCATCTAACAAACATAATCGCCAAAATCTCCTCGAAAATCAATATCGATACGACATATTGGACATCGTTTACTTTGTGTTAACCATCTATCTACACATTCAATATGAAATAGATGCATACATGGTAAACGACGTACATCATCATTATGATCAAATTCACATAGACATATAGTACATTTTTCATCAATAGATATCGTTCGTTTTTCATATTTATATGATAATGTTCGAGCATTAATATGTTCTTGATTTGCACCTATATTACCACCATTATTTAAACCATTTAATTGTTCTTCCATACGTAATAATTCTTCTACAACATGTTCAGCACGTTCACTATTTAAAAATGGATGATGATGATGGTGATGATGATGATGATGACTACGTAAAAGAAGTGGATTACGAAATGGACGAAATAATAATGGTGTTGATGCCCATTGATTATTTTGTGTTGTTGTATTTATTGCAACATGCATACTTGGATTATTTGAACCTAATGTTAAATTATATGTACTTGTTGATGATGTTGCAGGTTGTATTGTTAAATGAGCATGAATATTATTATTATTATTATTATTTGTTGTTGTTGTTGTTGTTGGATGTGTAAGTATAGCATGTAATTGTTGATTAGCTGTAAGTATTGTTGTCGTTGTTGGTGATGGCGACGATGATGAAACTGATGATGATGATGATGATGATGATGATGATGATGCTTGATGTTGAAATGAACTTAAACGTTGACGACGTAATTCAGATGTAAGTTGTTGACGATATTGATGACGTAAATGAGCTGGATTATGATTATGATGATGATGATGAAAATGTAGATGTTGTACAGGTGAAACTTGAGGAAGAGAAGCAAGAGCAACTTTACAAAAAAAAGAATAATAATAATAAAGTTTTTGTTTTTATTTTTCTTCTCTTGTAAAAATATTCAAAAAAAAATCAAAAGAATGAATTCGTGTCTTATTCGACGTGAGGATTGTTCTTGTTTCAAAAAGTTTGGACCCAATTGACTCTAACCGTCTGAGAAATATGTAGGATACACTAGTTATAGAATACAAAAAAAATGGAAAAAAAAGTATCTTGTATCTTCGGAGCAAGTATTCAATTCGGATTAGAAAATTTCATTGATCGTACATTATGAACGAGTCCGAATCTGAAAATCCAGAATCGAATGGACTCTAACCTAGAAGATGGCGCCCTTTCAAAGATCGCCTTGACCTTCCCAGAGTTTGTGCTTATTGTACTTCATGCTATAAATCTATACCTCCAAAAATGGATATTCGCCCTTCTGTAAGAAAAAATCTAGATAAAACATTGAAACGAACAACTTACCAGCGCTAGCAGCAGCAGCAGCAAGAGCAACAGTTTGTTGAGTTGTTGCTGTTAAAGTTGGTATAACATTAGGTGTTTGATTAGGAGGATAGACAAGAAATGGGGATATGGACGTATTTGATGATTGATTAGATCCATTTGATGGTGTTATTACTGTTGATGTATTTGGTGTTCGATGAGAACATGAACATGAGGAATTTGTTGGAACTGGTGTTGGTAGTGGATATCTACGAGATGATAAAAGTTGTCGAGGATATGTTGGAGGTACTGTTGGTGGTGTTGTTGTTATTGTTTGTGGTTGTTGTTGATATTGTTGTTGATTAGAATAAAGTGTTGGATAATATGATAATAGTCTTGATTGTTGTTGTGATTGTTGCTGTTGTTGTTGAACAGATCGAAAATCATTAATATTAGATGTTATATTTAATGGTAATAATGAATCTTGTTTAACTTGCTCAGTAATAATATTATTTGTATTAGATAATAATGATGATGAAGTTGTTCGATTAAATAAATTATTTGATATATTATTA